TTTTTAACTGTTAAATCTGCCCTTTGTGATAAATGTATCCACTCCAAACTTTTTTTTGTCAACTTGTGGTTTTATAAAATACACAAATTTTACACCATCTTGCTTGTAACGATTGTCAGACGTACAATTTGCAAACGCACAATGTTTTGTAGGCATGACAATTTGTTTTTTAATTTTATTTATCACAATATTTATTTATTCTAATAACAATAAAAAACGTACGTTTGACGTTGTTGTCAATAGAGAATTCGAAACATACTCGTATGTACCCCCTACCCCCCACCGGTGCTGCCCCTAGCGGATCTTTTTTAAATCTTCCCAGGAAAAAGGCTAATTAATGGAGGCCGGCTTACTAGCTAAACCACCCTATGTACATTTTATTCTGAACAAAAATAAAATAGGGAAGGATGACCAGCGCCAAGGTGTTCTACCTAGTTTTCAATTCAGTGGAGGGATACTGTAGAAAATAATAAAATTTGATACTTTATAAATGCGATTTTATACGTCTTTATACTCGTAAGCCGGCGAAAACATTTTCTTATACATTTTTTACTTTTTAAATTATAAACCTACATTTTTTAATATTCAAATTGCAACCAAGGCATACAATCCGGCACACAGCGCATAACAAAAGTTTCCGGCTCTTGGCTCTCGGAAGTTAGGGGTCCTTTGTCCTAGAAATCCATTCAAGGACATCCAAAGGACACGTTCGCATTTGCGAAATTTATAGGCACGACAAATGCGAGCTGTGTGCCGTATACCGTATATGGCCGTATCGTATTCGTAAGTGATTTAAGAAGTTGATATCTACACGAGTTTATGATAATTGCTTGTTATTCGGGAGTTCTCGGCCACGTTCTGATTTCTTTTTTGGTCGTAAAAAGGGTAAAAATAAATTACTTGTGCGTTTTGCTTTTATGAAACATATGGAATTATATTTTTTATGAGTAATACAGACATCAGAGATTCCTTAAAAGTTTATTTTTTACTTCTTATGAAAATTATAAATTTTATGGAATTCGTAAAGTTATAAAAGTTACAGACATGGGCGTCGGCAGGAGGACAATAAGAGGGGCGGTTGCCCTTTGGAAATTTCCAAGTTTGTGACCAAAAATAAGCCAAGTATAAAAGTACCTAGCATCCTAGCAACTTGTGTTAACCATGTTAATTTTAAATCTAAAATTTAATTAACTATTGCCCAGAAATATTATACACCATTTTGTTTAAATACTAACATTCAGTTTTTGTCATCTGGAGATTGAACTAATTGAATTATTGTATTTCCAAAGATGAAGAAAAATATTAGTTCTTTTTAATTTCACAGTGGCTTTGTTGGCGGAAAGAATTCTAAACTCCCATACAGCACACATTATTTCAGAAGTGCTTTAGAAATATTTCAAACGTTTCAAACATATAACATTTCAAGCACAAGTTTGTGAAATATTTTTAAAATATTTTAGTTAAATATTTCACTGAAAATGTTTCTAAAACATGGTATAGATGTTACACAAAAGGTTACTAAACGGGTTATGTTGTAAAAAGCCAACACTTAATGAAGAATTTCTGATTTGTAAGAAGATCAAGATGGGGTATATAGTTATTTTATTTCATCGGTCCTATGTCCAGCCAGAGACAAGATACAACCCTATATTCTAAATAATTATAGATTTGAGTTGTCGGTTTTTACCATTTTTTTTTTTTTATATGTATGCGTTGTGCTGTTGTTATATGGGAAGCAGAATGTCCCAAGTAGCACCGAACGGTTTTATTCAGTATTCAAGGATGCTTTAAAACTGTAAAATAAAACTGCAATTAAAACCAATTAGTTTTAAAAGGAGTCTTAAGGTTGTAATAAATACGCCTTCAGCATAAAAGGGCACACTCTGAAAGAGATCAATAAAACCAAAAATAAAAACCACCATATTACCTTGAACAACTGATTTTAAAGCTGCTGTGAAGACCCTTTTAAAACCACTTTAAATACATTTTAAACACACGCGGTTTTGAAGTGGACTTAATAATATTAGTTACATATACTTTTAAAGATAATTTATCTTATTGTTAACATATGAAAATAGTTTTTTAAAACTATATACATAATTTTTTTTAGCAAATAAAAGCAATTTATATTTGAAGATGATAATATGGTGACGCTCTAACCATGAATTATAAAATAATAAAAAGTAAGGTAATGATTTCGGAATGTCAGGGTATACATATATACTGCGCACCCGACTTTATCGATAAATGTTAACGAAAAAGTTTTAAAAAACTTAGGGGCCTTAAAATTTCTGAAGTTTTTTAATCCAAAACAACAAAATTGAAAATTGAAAATTGAAAAACATAAATTAGAAAGAAAAATAATTTTACCTATTATTTTAGATTTTTCTGAATTAAAAGAAATCGAAATTATACGTTTAAGTGGTTAACTTGTCGTTTTTATGCAAGCCTAAATATTTTTATCTATCATGGCTTCCACCATCTCTAAAAATAAAATGGCCGGAAATTAAACAAAACCGTTTGGTTAATGGACAAGGAAACGTTAAGATCAAAGGGTTTTATTTAATCGAGTTTTATACTGTTCCAAGAGCATATACCCTAGACAAAAGAAAGATTGGCTTTTGATTTAAACGGTTTAGTTTAAAACATAATAAAACTAAACAACCTGTAAGTCCTTCATAAAACTAAGTAGTTTAAAAGTTAATTGAAACTAAACCATTTTAAAACTACAACAAGACATACAAACTTTTAAGATTAATTGCCCTTATTAGCGAATCTTATTAGATACTTTAAAACCAGTATTAAATGCTAAACGGCTTTTAAGTGCCCGCAGTATACCTACAAGGTTACTTTAAAACCAGTATCTTCTTATTTTCCACATTAAAACCATTTTAAAACTGAAATAAACCCAAAATGTTTTAATGGTGCTACTTGGGGTGCCTAGAAATTGAGGTGAGTACCTACTACAGAAATAATACCTGTTTAGGTTAGATTTATTTACTCTCTTTTCTCTGAGACGAGTGACGCTATTTCGTTCATCAAATTTACAGACAGTTTTTGTCTTATTGTTATTTAAATATATATTTGCTGTCCTCCACCAGTTTTATTTATTAGTTCTACATCTGAATTGAAAAGCGGAGCTTCATGTTTTGTTTAGGCATAAGTATTGTTTTATTATAGTCATTTTAAAACAATTTTAATAAAACTATTGTTAATCAAATAAATTTTATAAATCCTTTTTAATTACCTATAATTTGTTTCAGATTAGTGCATTTAAAGGAATTCGTGTAAATGAAGCAATTTTTCAGCTTTGGGGCTGTGGCCGTAAAATTAACATCCAAATTATTCAAAATGTTTAGAATAAAATATTAAGGAACATCGTCGTTGTACTGTACTGCCGCAATACTGATCTTCATAGGGACCTTAAAGTGGCGACTGTTGAAAATAAAACACTAAAATTGGCCAGTAGTCGCCAACAACGACTGCTCCAACATGGAAACCTTGAGATTATCCAGCTACTCAACAATGCCAATCTAATAAGAAGAGTTAAGAGAACCAAGCCTTTTGAGTTAGTTCAGTGATGTTAGATTAAAGCAGAGTATAGTGCGGTATTGTTATACGTAGTGTAACTAAATACTAAGGTACACTAGTGAGTAGAATCTTAGTTTATGAAGTTTTTCATCCCCAGATAAGTAAGGTTAGAATAAAATTGCTAATTGATCTTGATGATCAGATTGTAATAATCGTAAATGTTTTTTACTTGGGACATTTATTAAAAAAATAAACCTATTTGTTTCAGATTAGTCCATTCCGTGAAACTTGTAAAACTGAAGCGATTCGCTTTCATATTTTATGAAATAATGTTTAAAAATTATTTACTTATTTGTTTGTTTAAGAATCAATGTTCAAGTTTTGTGTATTTTAAATAAACATGTATATTTATTTTTCACTTACAACTTATAATTTACTTTGTGAATAAGTATTATAGTTATAGTTTTTTACGTGATTTTTTGAAACTTTTTCATTGTGATCATTTCAGATATGTACCTACCTATTTACTACCTATTTAATTAAGGTGTATCAACATTTATTTTGTCTTTTTACTTCTTTTGTAAATTTTTCTTCCTTATAGGCCTGATAATCGCCTTTGGGCCGAAACCGGTTGCCGCTATTTAGTTTAAATTTATAATAAAAATGTATGTGGGATTAATTTTTATCTTTTTTTCTCATTATTAAGATGTTGAACCCTCTTCAAACGTTATATTCATTTCTGATTTGTTTTGTAATTGATTTGTGTTAAATGTAAAATAATGAATCCATTATTTAAGCCATATCAATAAATAGTTCATAATAATGAAGAAAATGAAAAAAAAAATCAATAAAAAAATTCAATGTCACATTAATTAAATTACTGCTATGCAATGTCTAAACAAATCTTAAAATAAATAATCAAACAGACACATGTTCGATTTCAAATTTCAAACTTCTCTGTTTATTAATTATTAAATTCAATGTCGTGAGAAATCTCGAGTGTCTGGTTGTTGACGATAAAATATTTTTAAAATTAGTCCTAATAATAAATTAATAAAAGGAACGAATCAATTTGAATGGCATCAATAGAATACATTTGGGAAAATAAATGGGCCACTTCGAAAAATAGTTTCATTCAGAATACCTATACGGAATGATTGAAGTTTTTTTTCTGACATAAAAAACAGTATTTTTTTATCATATTTCGGAGCTAAGCAGCTAAGAAGAACTTCAAACAGTGTTTGGAACTGGTGGCCCAAGTCGTGGCAGTGTTTATAGATGCTGATATTTATACTTGTAAGCAATAAACGTGGTGTCGTCCCAAATCTGCAGTTAATCTAGAATAATTGGCCGCCAACAGTTGCAAAACTAAGAGAATAACTGTCACATTTCATATGAAATTATATAAACTACTTTAAAGATTCATGCACCAGGCAGGCTCTTATGGAATTCTTTATGAAAAAACATACCTTCGATCATTTTGTAAGCTCCTCCCAAAACGACAATTAGGACAGCCACCAGCTTGGCTGCTGTGAAGACATTTTGAACACTTGTCGCCAGATTCACACTGTAGCAGTTAACGTATAGAATGACGACTGAAATAAATGAAAAACATTAAAAGTATGACATTATTGGGATTATCAGGAATAATATACAGGACGGTATGCTTGTATCACCAAACAAAACAAACATATTAATAAAAAAATATCGATTCTAGTAAAAATAATTAGAGTCTTATCTACTATTTACTAAACCGATTTTTGTAACCTAAATATTGTTATTTTAAACAAACGAATAAGCTTTTTGATAATAACTTTTAAGTGACTATATTGTCCTTTATTTTTGAGATTTCTAAAAAAGGACATTTTAAAAAATGTACTTAGTATTTTGACTGTGTTAAATGGAAAACTCCAATTTAAAAGACACCTTCTATAGGTACCTCTCAATCGTATTTTAAATTTAATTCAACATTTATTTATATACACGGGTAATACCCATTTGACATTTTTACAATAGAAAAAAATAAATTACAAAAAGGAGTAGGTATATGCAATAATAATGCAAAATGTAATTTAGGTTAAAGATAATACAAAGATTTATTAATAGGGTTGTAGTTTTGTCAAAACTTTTAATTTTGATTCCATTTTGTTCTATTCGTTCTGCCATTCTTGGTACACGTCAGTTTTGATTAGTTGTTTGTTGTCCGACTGGTGTAATTTTAACTGACAGATTCAAATATGAGGCTGTTTTTACTACAAATTGGTCTGCTTCTTTATTTCTTCTAATTCACACATGTGATGGGACCCACAATAACTTAACTGAGAGTTAAATAAAATAGAGCAGTTCCTCTTTGATAAGGCTGCAGTTATAGTCCCTCATCTAACTACAAAAAGTGCATTTCGTGATTTTTGCTTGCTATTTGTAATTGGGTACAGGGGAGGGGAACGAACAACAATTAAGTACTTCGTCCCGTTGGTGGGAGCTGTAGTGTAACCTGTCAAATTCCCAATAATGTTGTTTGTCGATGAATTTTTTCTTTGCCGAAAATGAAATAATTTACTTACACCGAAAGTAGCAAAATCGGACGTCAAAAAATGCTTGCAACGGGATTTTTAATTGTTATAGACGTCTAGAACGAAAAAATTAAAAAAAAAATCCATCGGTAAGCAAGCTTACTTTGAATTTGACACGACAGCTCGCACCACTGGAACAACCCCCTCTCCTGTACCCAACTACGCATAGGAAGCAAAGTGCTGATTTTTTCAATCAGATAAGGGACTATTATAGGTACCTACGAAAGAAAAATATTCCAGCATCTCTCTGCAAATTACCGCTCCTGCTAGTGCTACGTTGGTTTTCGATGCATCTGTGAATATGTTAATGTGCTTTGGTATTTTGAGGTTGCTTCTTATAATTTTTTTGAAGGTATAGCAGGTTCCAATTATGAACGTTCTAAGTATGCCCAGTTTAGTAAATCCTCTGGACGTCAAGAAATAGATATCTGCAGAACATCAATTCTACTTGCTTTACTATATTTCCATGGATTCACATTCGCATTTTATTATTATTTGGTTATATTATATAGAAAACATATATAATGAGATAATACAAATAATTATTAAAGATGGCAATGTCCCAATATCAATTTAATGAAGGCCAAATAGATAAAAACGAAGAAGATCAAGGGACACTGTTGACAAGTGACATTTTATTTTTTATTTTTATTTATTTAGATTCAAGATTTAAGCACTAAAATATTCTCAGGGCACAGGTTTTATTAAAAAAAAAAGAAAAGAAATATGTTGTTCAATGTTCAAGATTCGATGGTATAGGTATACATATTATACGAGTATGTTAGAAATAATCAATAATAAGGTTGTCACAATTAATACTGATTTTGATATCTATCGTTCTTTAGTCTATGTTCTTGTGACATGTGTCACTTATGTCACTTGTAATAATGTCAAGCGAGTAAGTCGTTGATTTGACTGTTAAGTTGTTCGTTATGTTTTATAATTAAAATTCTGCTAATAGAAAGTTGTAATAATCTACGTGTCTTATTACCCAGCACTCTGCGAGATATAGAAAAGTAATATCTCCAACAGGTTATGGGCCCAGAGTTCGTGTAAACGAAAGACATCAAATTTTACGTTTTATTCTATTGAGCAGTGAACATACATTACTCTTCACAAAAATATGGCGGGTGAAACTAGTATGGCGGCAAGTATTGAAAATTATTCAGAGTGGAAGTTTCAAATGGCTGCTTTATTAAAACTAGATGGGCTATGGAATTGTATTTCTAGACAAGTAGCGGTAACGTCAGAAGCAGATATTGCGGCCAGTGCACGTCGTGAAGAAAAAGCGTTGTCAAAAATAATATTATCCTTAGATAAATCAACGTACCCTCATGTAATGCAAGCCAAAACTGCAAGTGAAGCATGGATAGCACTTGAAAAGGCATTCGAAGACAAAGGGCTACATCGAAGGTTGAGATGATTGAGAAGTCTGTGCTCAATAAAACTTGAAAACTTTGATAACATGGAAGACTATGTAAATCAAATAATGGGCCTCTCTCAGCAACTGATGTCAATTGGAAAACCTATAGATGATGAATTTCTTGGTGTGATAATGCTACAAGGTCTCACAGAAGAATATGAACCGATGGTCATGGCACTTGAAAATTCCGGTGTAGACATAACCTCAGATTTTGTAAAAACCAAATTGTTACAAGACAAAAAGTGGCAAAATGGAAGACATGGAGGTGATTCTGCATTAGCTGTGAAATATAATAAGTTTAAGAAATCTCCATGGTGTTGGGGTTGTAAGCAAAAAGGCCATTACAAAAATCAATGTCCACAAGCACAACACAAGAAAGATATGACACCAAATAAAAATAAAAACAAACAGAGTGATAACCGAAGTGAAAATAAAGCTTTGTTTGCCGCTGCATTAGGTGTAAATATGAAAAATAATGCTTGGTACATCGACAGTGGCGCATCCGCTCATATGACAGGCAATAGTGATATTTTGATGGAATTGTCCAATAAAAATTCTGGACAAGAAATTTCCATAGCAAATAATAATAAACTGTTTGTTAGCGGAACTGGCAATAGTATTGTGAAGTTAAAACAAGATGGAATTGAAAGGAACATTGTTGAAATTAAGTATGTTTCAGATCTTTCAGTTAACCTTCTGTCAGTAAATTCGATGGTGTCCAAAGGCTACAGTGTATGTTTTGACACTGAAGGTTGCAAAATAATTGAGCAAGAGAAGTGCTCTATTGAGGGAGAAATTATTGCTACAGCCAGTAATGTTGATGGGTTATATAAACTTGATACTTTGCCGGAGCATATAAACATAGCAAAAGTAACCACTTCTCATATGCTATGGCATAAACGACTAGGTCACCTTAATCACTATAGCATGAGTTTACCAAAAAACAGTCTAGCAACAGGAATGGTATATGAAGAAATTAATGTCCCTGAATACTGTGAAAGTTGTATTAAAGGAAAACAGTCAAGAAAACCATTTCCTTATAAAAAGAATAAAGAAGTTGTTAAAAATAAACTTGACCTAATTCATTCTGATTTAGTTGGACCAATGGAAGTAGAATCATGGGGTGGTAAGAGATATATTTTTTCTCTAATTGATGACCATACAAGAAAAATATTTTGTTACTTTCTTAAATCGAAGGACGAAGTTCCTGTTATTTTCAAAGAATTTTGTTTGATGGTAGAAAATCAAACTGAACGAAAAATAAAAGTACTAAGGACTGATAATGGGGGAGAGTATTGTAATAAAACGTTAGATGCTTTTCTTAAAGACAAAGGAATCAAGCATGAGCTAACTGTACCCTATAGTCCTGAACAGAATGGTGTAGCAGAGAGGTACAATCGTTCAATTCTTGAGAAGGTACGTTCCATGCTCATCGAATCAAATAGCCAGAAACAAATGTGGGCAGAAACAACAAACACTGCAGTTTATCTTTTAAATCGTTCACCGACAAAGAAAATACGTGGTGCAACGCCAGAAGAAAAGTGGACTGGAAAGAAGGTAGATCTTAGACATCTTAAAGTGTTTGGATGTAGTGCTTTCGTCCATATACCTGATATAAAGAGGCGAAAACTGGATGAAAAGAGCAAAGAGTATATTTTTGTTGGATATTCTGAAGCCAGTATTGGTTATAGATTAATGGATCCTAACAATCACAATCTAAAGATAGCAAGAGATGTTGTGTTTTTGGAAGAAAAATTTTCAGAGACTTTGCAGCCTGCTATGTTAAGCATTTTCTTTCCACTTAGTGTCAGGAGTGAGGATCAAATAATTGAGATACCTGAGAATTCAACCTTAGTGGATGAAGAATCAAACTCACCACCTTCTTCAGAATTATGTGAGTCCAGCCTGTCTAGCGAAGAAGAAAATAGTGCTGTGGAAGTGAGTGATAGTGAAAATGGTTCTAAAAATGGAGAATGGGATAAATCTAAAGTAAATATTAGTGAAAGTGATTGTGAATCCAGGTATCCAAAAAGGAATAGATGTAAGCCAAAATTTTTTGATGACTATTTACTTGATAATGATAATGATGTATCTGATAATTCAAATTTTGCCATGTTAGCGAGTATGGTAGCTATATCAAATGACTTAGAACCATCAACTCTTTCTGAAGCACTGTTGAGCACAAGAAGTGCTGAATGGAAGCATGCTATTAAAAAGGAACTAAATGCCTTTAAAGTCAATAATGCTTGGGAATTGGTTGATAAACCTAATAATAAAAATATTGTTAAAAATAAATGGGTTTTTAAAACTAAGTTGAATCAAAATGGAGATATAGCTACATATAAGGCTAGGTTAGTTGCCAAGGGTTTCACCCAGAAATATGGCGTAGATTATTCAGAGACGTTTTCTCCAGTAATCCGATTTAGTAATTTAAGATTACTTCTTGCAATGGCTGTAGAATTAGATTTGGAAGCAGACCATTTAGACGTGGAGACAGCGTTTCTGAATGGTGAGATTGATGAACAAATTTATATGGCTCAACCAGAAGGTTTCGAAGAACCAGGTTCAGAAACTAAAGTGTGTTTACTCAAAAAGGCTG